AGACAGTTTCACTTTGTCGCCCTTGGTAGAGTGCTGTGGCATCATAGCTTATAGCAACCTCCAACTCTTGGGATCAAGCCATTCTCTTGACCTGTCCTGAGGTGCAGAGGAGGACGGCACTCCCAGGGGCAGAAAAGAGAAAACACTCTCAGTCCAGAGGCTTCCCAAGTAGCTGGGACTATAGGTGCTGGGCACAACACCCAGCTATTTTTAGAGGCGAGGTCTCGCTCAGGCTAGTCTCAAACTCGTGAGCTCAGGCAATCCACCCACCTTGGCCTCCCAGGGTGCTAGGATTACAGGCATGAGCCACCTCGCTTGGCCGACTTGAAACATTTTTAAGATCATTAATTAAATTTTTTTCAAAAAAAGTTCAAAGCATACTAAGCACATTCTTTTACCTTTTTTTGATCAGCATAACTTAAATGTGCCACAGAAGTTTAATAGGTTCAAGTATTCCATGAGATTAACAAAAGGCTGAAAAGCACAGCTGTACCCTCAGACCTGCCTCAGATGAACGTGTTAAGATCTGCTACTCACTTTCTGGTCATCTCCATGAGCAAGTGCATTTCAAGTCCCCCAAACCTTCTGCCCTCACACCCAGATAGATTAAACAATTCCCCAGCAATCACTTGGACACCATCCTCACTCAGCAAGTGCTCTGGTTAGGACCTGCTCCGGAATCAAAAAATTCCCACGACATTCCTGTTTGCCTGTTTTTAATGCTTAGGAGTTTGAATTCAAGATCCAATCTGGGCCTGACCTTTCTCCACCACCTGCAACTGACCCCAACCTGTCCTGAGGTGCAGAGGAGGATGGCACTTCCAGGGTCAGAAAAGAGAAAATACTCTCAGTCCAGAGGCTTCCAGGTTTGCATTTGAAACATTTATTTCAGGAAATACATTTTCAACACTTAGTTATTTATACAAAAAGAGACAATTTTCTCAGGAGGCACCAAGCAAAAGGCCATTGTGGAACAGAGCCTGATGAAGCTAATGGGTTTCCCAAATCTGGTTACAGAGAAGGAAAGCGAAGCCAGCCCGGGGCTGGGATGCTGCCACCCGCCACCTGTGGCCTGGGCCCTGGCACTGGAGATGGACATTTCCTTCAAAGTTTTGGTTTTGGCAAAAACATGGCAAGTTGGCAAGGAAACCATCCCGCTGAAGGGTTTGGTGAGAGGCCCTTCCTCTCTTAGGTGGGGGGAGGGACGAAACAGTCAACATGATGACACCCACATATGCACAGGCACCCCACACCTGCACCCGGCCCTGGGCTTCACATGTGCAATCTCGGCAGGCCCTTCTCTCCCCTCTGGAGCAACAGGGGCAGGAAGGGACTCTGGCCAGCTATGCACAGCATGGATGGCCCCTGCTGGTCTCCTTGAGGGGACAGAGTAAGGGGGCCGTGCCGTGCCGCATGAAACCCCTCTCTGCAGCCTGGCTAAGGACTGTGCACACTGACCCCTCATCTTAGGCTCTGGGGTGCAGGGGCCCAGGCTCACCTGGCCTCCTGCCTCCCTGGGTCATAGGGCCAGCAAGGCCTGAGTCGGGAGGGAGAAGGACTGAGTGTCAGGGAACCATAGCCTGCGCTGGGGCCAGACCAAAGACTGGATAGAGGAACGCACGCGCGCGCGCGCACACACACACACACACACTTTCTTCCCCAGGCACACGGGGCAGGGCTGGCAATGGGGCTACTCAGGTTGTTCCAACCAGCCCAAGCCACAGCCCACATGCCCCACCCCCAGCTTTCTGTCCAGCACCTTCCACTGCTTCCTCCCTCTGATCCCGAACCAGATTCACTTGCTTGGACCTTCCCAAAAATCAGGGGTGGGCGCATCATTGTTCCTTCCCTTGTCCTCTATCCCAGCCCAGCACACGGCAGCCCCTGCAGCCCCGTGGGAGGTAGTGACGGGAGGGTGGGACGGCCGGGAGGTGGAAATGCCTCCCTCATTCCAACCTGGCCGTGTCTGGCTCAAGTGGCTCATGCGGACGGCTGAGATAAAGGCACTTTCTGCTCCAGGATGGGCTTAGGGGCGGGCAGCTGCGAAGGGCCTCGCGCGTCTAAGCCATCAGCAACTGAGGTTTGTGGAATTCTCTGGCCTCCCCAGGGAGCAGGGTAGGGGCGTGTGCTCTCTGGGTTACATGGTCTGTGTGATCACCCATGAAGCTAGAGGACATATAGGGGCGTCCAGGTCCACCTAGCTGGCTCCATCCTCCTCTGGGCACAGCCCCCGACATACTCCGGTGTCTGTGGCTAAGAGGGACAGAGGGACATGTACAGCCTGCCGGGCCCCTCTGCTCGCACAGGGCCTGGTCTGCACCCCGAGGCTCCCGGCTCTGAGAACTCCACCAGTATGGAGGGTTGGCACAGGTGGAGGCTGCTCTCCGGGCCCTTGGGGATCTGGGTATGGGGACAAGGGGCTGAGTAGATTCAGCACGTCCTCGCATCTGTCCTCCGGCTACAGTCCAGCCTCCCCAGGCCTCAGAGGCCCAGGAGGCCGCGGCCAGTGGGCTAACGACAGACACACTCCGGAGGTCGCACCTTATCCTGTTACCTGGCAGCGTGTCAAAGGGGCGGAGGACAATGACGAATGGAGAAAATTATATAAAATAAAATGGGGCAGGTGGGCAGGCTGGGGGGACAGGAAGGACTGGGGCAGGGTCCTGGGGGTGGGGTGGCGTCTACATCTCCTGGGCTTCCGGCTCCTTGTCCTCTGTGCCATTGGACATGGCGCTGTTGCCCTCGTTCAGGCGCTTCACGCGGTATGCCTCGAAGTGGATGCTGCTGGTGATGTCCTTGATGTTCTGCATGTGCGTCCTGGGCAGGGTGGGGAGGGTGGGGCAGGGTCAGGGTGGGGCCAAGGGACCCTCCCCCAGGGACACAGGCTGTTGGCGCCCCTCCCTAGCTGTGCCGTCTCTCACCTGATGAGCAGGTCGCGCAGGTAGGCGAACTCACAGTGCATGGTGTTCTCCACTGAGGGGGAGACAAAGAAGCTTTAGTGTCCTGCAGGGGAAGCCCTGTCCAGGTCCCCACCCACCCTCCTGCCCAGGAATGCTGGTGCCAAGGGCAGCTTCCGAGGACCGCCCTGTGGGCTGGGCAGAGAGGGGAGTCACCTGCCCTACAGGCAAGGCAAGGCACCTGGCACTGCTCTGCCCTGAGGATACCAGGTGACTGGACAGACTCAGCTCCTACCCTCCAGAAAGTTCCAGGCTAGTGGGGAGATGACACAGTGACCAAGCCAAGAAGAGTGTGAAAGAGGAGCCACAGTGAGGAAAGCAGGGCCCCTGCACCACTGGGGTGACCAGGGAGGGCTCCCGGGAAGAGCAGGACGTCCCAGCAGAGATGAAGACAAGCAGGGGCTGGGATTGGAGCAGGGATCTTAAAGAAACCTGTGGCCCCTGGGTGTCCTCCCACACAGCCCAGCCCATCACACACGCTCAGGGCACAAGTGTGCACAGAGACTACACTTGTATCAAGTTCAAGAGCCTACAGACCAAACACCACATTGCTCAGGGACATGTGCACAGCACACAACATATAAGAAGCCCAGGGGTGTGACAGGCACAAGCTCAGGAGGGGGGGGGGGCATCCATAGGTACCCTTGAGCACACCAGTGGCCATTGCAGAGTAGTCACTTCATTGCTGTGCTTTGTAACTTACATGGCCACCCAGGGCTGGGTGTGTGTGATTACCACAGAACACAAGAGCTTTTGATGGGGGCAGAGAAGGGAGGCGGGACGGTGTCAGGAGCTACTCCCTACCAGGAGTAATGGACCCACTCTCGCACACCTACAAGGTATCTGCCATGATTCTTCTTTTGTTGTTTTATGAAAAGAGGGATTAGAGAACATGGGAGTCCATCTGGGTACACAGCTCTGAGCTGGAGCAGGACTCAGGACCCATGCGGCTCTTCTCAGAGTTAAGAGTCTGGTTCTCACCTGACAAGCCGGCAGGGCAGGGCAGGGCAGGGCAGGGCAGGGCAAAGCCCACCTGCCTCCACCTTGCCCAGCTCTCAAGGGCTCTTGATTCTATTTCAGCTGCCTCTTGCCCCAGGGTGGTCCTACCCCCACCCCAACCCCTGCACAGATATGTCCACACTAGAACCTTCTACAGACTGGCTCTCAGGTGTTTCTATGCAACATTTTTTTTTTTTTTTTTTTTT